TATGCTTTAAATGTGTGTTTAATATGTTTTAAATGTATAGGGTGGAGCTGCCCTTGGCGTTAACTTCAATAGGGGGCGAGAATGAAAAGCCACAGAAGATGTGGCAACTGAAGGGATGCTGTGTGTGTGTGTGTGTGTGTGTGAGAGAGAGAGAGAGAGAGAGAGAGAGAAACGGACAGACAGAAAGGGACTGAGACAGATAGGTAGTTCCACTTAGGAATTAAGGATCTAAGGAGAAGATCCTTTTTAAGCTGGAACTCAGCAGAACTCACTTGTCCGGTGGGCGCCATTGTCATTATAAGAGAACAAGGGAGGTGTTCATATTGGGTCCCAGTACCTCTTTTTTCTAGAAAAATAGCACTGGCTAAGAAGGGAAGAGCTTAGGAAGCAGGGGGCTTTTAAGAAGTGGAAGGCTGAACAGCTTCAGGAACTACTGTGTTGTCATAGGAATCTGCCTTATATCACATCAGGGCCAGCCCAATGCATTTGAGCACCCGAGGCAAGCCACAAAACGGTGTACCTCCTCTGCCCCCAGGGAAGAACAGGTGTGCGAAGGTCTGCATTGGGAACAAGGCAGGAATGAAGATCTACACCGGGAACAATGCAGGGGGGGGGGATAAAATCAACCCTACCCAATGGTTGAAGTGGAAATCAAAAGCCATTGTGGAGTTGTAGGGGAAGGGGTCCACTCTGAATTACGCTGGGTGGGTGCAGAGCTCAGGAGATCCTAGAGGGCAGCCCGTACCATTTCCTCCCTAGGGATGGGAGCCGCTACTCCGGTTTGCCAAGAGGTCACTGTAGAGGTGGCACTGGAGGGGGCCGACCCTGCCTCCAAATCGTGTGCCTCAGATTTTCTGTCCCTGTGGATCCTGCTGCCTGAGGTGGTTGCCTCACCTTGTCTCATGGGTGGGCTGGCCCTGTATCACACCATGCTTTCCATCTCACCCAGCAGTCTCACAACAACCCTCCAGCTTTCAGGCAAAGAATCTTTCACCTCATCGGTTCCTTCACTGAATATGCCAAGTGTTGAAGGTGGAACTTTCTGCATGCAAGGCCTGTGCTCTTCCATGAAGCTCAGGGTTGCCTAAGTGTGTATAGCCCAAGGAGTTTCCTTCTAGGCAAGTTTCTGTGGGCAACATGCCAGTTCTGGGCAGGGCCAGGGGCAAACGTGGGCAGAGTGAGCAATGAATGTCAACTTTACTTTTGTCCAGGCCGGCTAGTTTCTACAGACTTACACATACCCCTCTCTAATCTCCACCAAAGGAAGCAAGCGTCGTCGTCAGAGTCCAAGGACACAATCCAGCCAGGCACTCAAGAAGAGGGTGGAGCAGGTGTGGGCAGAGAACCACGTTTGATCAGGCAGTTGTAGACCAGAGCACTGCCAGGCAAATACTACATTTGCAACAATCTATCATTCTATGGCTATTCGGGTTGCAGGAACCCAACTTCTTGCATCAACCCTGATTTCTTCTCCTCCTTGTCTCCTTTTGCTGATTCCTACCTTGCTGGTGCTTCTCTAGACCCAAGAGCTGCCTTGTGGTTGTGTCTATACTCTGCTTAACCTACCCAAAGCCAGCATTTCTTTGCTCCATGCATTATCATAAACCAGAATCCGGCACGGCTGTTCCTGAGCTCCCATTGCAGCCTCCAGCCCAACACCTTGTTGTTGTTGTTTAGTCGTTTAGTCGTGTCCGACTCTTCGTGACCCCATGGACCAGAGCAGGCCAGGCACTCCTGTTTTCCACTGCCTCCTGCAGTTTGGTCAAACTCATGCTGGTAGCTTCAAGAACACTGTCCAACCATCTCGTCCTCTGTCGTCCCCTTCTCCTTGTGCCCTCAATCTTTCCCAACATCAGGGTCTTTTCCAGGGAGTCTTCTCTTCTCATGAGGTGGCCAAAGTATTGTCACCTCAGCTTCAGGATCTGTCCTTCCAGTGAGCACTCAGGGCTGATTTCCTTCAGAATGGACAGGTTTGATCTTCTTGCATTCCATGGGACTCTCAAGAGTCTCCTCCAGCACCATAATTCAAAAGTGTCAATTCTTTGGCGATCAGCCTTCTTTATGGTCCAGCCCAACACCTAGTATCCCCAAAGACTGACACCTGGGTCTTGACTTTTTGTATGATGATTACGCTGTTTCATCCCTGCTTTCCCTGGCTTTCCCTGGCTTGTTTTCCTAACCTGACCATTTGTCTGAACCTCAGCAGTAACTAGGAGAATCTCATTTGGGTTTTTCTTTGTTCGCTGAATAGTATGCCAGCCCTCGTCCTGAGCCAAATCACTCTTAGCCTTAATTTTGCAAGCACACCCCCTGCAACTTGGAAGCTTGCAGTGAGCCCTATTTGCAGCAGCAGGGCAACCTAACAATTCAATTTATCTAGACCCAAATCCTTTCTCATTTGGATCCCGAGCACAGGATCCCGGGTTTCCGTGGCACAATAGTGTCATCCGTCGCCTGCATGCCATTCCATTTGTGGCCTCCCACTCTTGTACAGTGCAATGGAAAACACAGCCCTTAGGTTTATTTAAAACAGATGCTTAGACATGTGTTTCCAAGTTGGTCACCAATGACATTTTTAATTTATTTAAAAAAACACCCTTAAAAAAATTCCAAATTATGCTGGAAAAGAGGAAATTAATGATGTGTCATCTTCATGTTCTTTTTGGCTTAATAGCATGGCTGCTGTCGGGAGTTACAGATTATGACGTTTAAGGAGAGAAAGAGAGGGGAGGAAGAATCCTGCTTCTTTGGATAATTGTACAGAGTTTTTCCTTTTTAATCACCTACTAATAAAGCATAATGAATTCCATCATCTAGTGCAGGCATAGTCATTGTAGTGCCCTCCAGATATTGGAGCCCAGCTCCCCTCAGCTATAGCCAGCATTGGCCCAAGGCGAGGGATGATGGCAATAGTGGCCAACTCTGGAGTGAAGCATGTTGTCTTCTCCAGGCCTAGGGAATAGCATTTTAAAGAACCAATGAGGAGAAATGAGAAACAGAGCATGAGGAAGGTTATGCAAATAAAAAATACATCAGGAAAGAACATCTTCAATGTTTTGCAGTGATTTTGTGGAGAGTGTGCATCCTGCACAGATGAAATATGCAGCTGAGGCAAGGATGGCATTAAAAGGAATGATGCACATCTTACAATCGATGTGCCTTCAGAGGGATCTTGCTCATAGGCTTGTGAAAGAACCTACCTATGTAGAAATAGCATGTGTATGCCTAGGCTAATTCAGAAGTAATGCTCAGTGCATAGAGGGATTGGGAGAGGTGCCAGTAGGTGCATGCGGGTATGATCCTGCTTCCCTCCCTCTATGCACATTGATGCTTCACATATGTACTTGGTGTACTTGGGGGTGTGGGGTGGGCATTTTGTGTGTCTTCCAAGATCTGGGAAGTGATGTTACTGCTTCACTCAGCTCTTGCAAGAAGACCTCTTTTGGAGTATTGCATTAAGGTCTGGGACACAGCAGCTGGAGTCCGATGTTGACACCTTGGAAAAGATTCAAAAGAGAGCTAAGAGCATCATGAGATATGTAGAAGGCAAATCCTGTGAGGAAACGTTGAGGTAACTAAATAGGCTTTGCTGAGTGGGGAGCAGGGGAGGCTGAAGGTCTGTACGTCGACCGTTTCCAAATATTTAAAAAAGATGTCAGAAATAAAAGAGGTTGAACGTTCAGGAGTAGGGATGGGTGAAACTAACAGTTTCGGCTTTTCCGCTTCTCATTTTCCCAATCCTAAATTCAGTTCTCCATGTTTCCACATCAGTTTGTGATCAATAAAAATCCTAGTGAAAATTCACCAGCAGCTTACCCGGAAGCTGTCTGTGGAGAAACGCCGGCTCCCTCGGCCAGTAAAGCGAGATGAGCGCTGCAACCCCAGAGTCATCCGCGACTGGACTTAATGGTCAGGGGACCCTTTACCTTTTAGTGTAACTTTATCCCAATGCACACATTTTTAGATGTGATTTTGCATAGTAAACATAGTTTTGCAAAGCAACTTCCCCCCAACAGAATACTAAGAATTGCATTTCTATGGGCACTTTACCCCAGGACAGGGATGGGCCTGCCAGGGGGTCCAAATTGGCCCTGGAATCTCACACTGCTCACAGATTGGGGTGGTGCACAACAATACTATCTTCGGACATGATTCCATAAGGTGAGAACAAAATCACTGCAATGCAGTTGCCTATGTGTTCGTAGCAGTCCAGAAAGATTTGAGGGTTTATAACAGAGGGTGGGGGGAGCTCTCCATACCTTTTATAAATTGGAATTCCCCCGCTCCAAATCCTGGGAATGTAGGATGGAAGAAAAGAAAATTATCAGCATCCATAAAGGACAACTCTCTGGACTCTTTCAGTGAAGCCTTTCAAAGCCACGGCAATTAGAGTCACATATGTGAACCGAACGCTTTTGTCTCCTGTATGTTTTAAGCAGCACACGTGGGATCAGACTCAATGCCAGAATTTAATTCTGTACATCAAAATAAGTACATCTATTCGGAGTAGAGTGATGAAACAGTCTTCAGAACATCAGACCTTTTTGCTGTGACAGAGCTGGAGAAGCCTGACGTTAATATCAGCAAATTCCGAATGTTCCAAATCGTTTCAATGGCCTTGCGGTTTGAGCCGAGACTCATTTAGCTTCTTTCTTCAGCTAATTAGGCAACTGGGAGATTTATGATGTAATTCAGTCTATTAAATGTTTTCTTCAATTTGACATCTAATTCATCAATGTCCACTGCCTCTGCAGGTGTAATTTAAATTCTCCCATACTAATGCACAGCATTTTCTTATTATCAGAGGAAGCGCATTGAATTCTTCAGGACCACCATACATTTTTTGACCGTATAATATACTGGAGACAAATTCTAGTAGCTCCCTTTCATATGTTTCTTTAAATAAAAACAAACACTGGGGTGTATGGAAGGGAAGGAATGAGATTTAGATGTCTGTGTGTTTTCCTAACCTAAGCAGTACCCTCCATATACATGGGCAAATCGCTTCTTGGCCTTTTGGCTAAGATCAAGTGTACCATATACATGGGCAACTGCTTCTGAATATTGAGGAACACCTCACCATTGGTGAAACCCACAGGGGAATCACATGACTGAATGCTTTCTCATGTCAGAAATTCCCTCCCAGTGGAAAGATAGCAAGTCTGAGAGAAGGGAGCCTAGCTTAGCTTTTTAACTGATGTGCTAGTTTTCTAACCATAGAGTTTCAGCTCCAGTGGAAAGCCTTGAACATGTATTTGTTGTTGTTGTTGTTGTTTAGTCGTTTAGTCATGTCCGACTCTTCGTGACCCCATGGACCAGAGCACGCCAGGCACTCCTGTCTTCCACTGCCTCCCGCAGTTTGGTCAAACTCATGCTGGTAGCTTCAAAAACACTGTCCAACCTTCTCATCCTCTGTCGTCCCCTTCTCCTTGTGCCCTCCATCTTTCCCAACATCAGGGTCTTTTCCAGGAAGTCTTCTCTTCTCATGAGGTGGCCAAAGTATTGGAGCCTCAGCTTCAGGATCTGTCCTTCCAGTGAGCACTCAGGGCTGATTTCCTTCAGAATGGATAGGTTTGATCTTCTTGCAGTCCATGGGACTCTCAAGAGTCTCCTCCAGCACCATAATTCAAAAGCGTCAATTCTTCGGCGATCAGCCTTCTTTATGGTCCAGCTCTCACTTCCATACATCACTACTGGGAAAACCATAGCTTTAACTATACAGACCTTCGAACATGTATATGAAGCTTAATTATCCTATATTTGTATGCAATGAATTGCCTTTCGTAAACTGCCTTAGGAGGGTTTTCCCTGACAGGCAGCATCTAAATATTAAGAATGAATGAATGAATGAATGAATGCGGGTCCCTCCAGATTGGTGGGTGGGTTTGTTTTGCAGGTGTATTTTACAACATGTCATAGATGCCATAACAGCGCATCCGTGGTGGATTTATTCTGAACTGTCCACACATTGTTTGGCTTTATGAGTTGCTCTGTGATGCTGCCCAAACGATACTGCATTTTAATGCAGATGGGAACTTGTTCTAGCCAGGGTAAAGACATGCATTATTTAGCATAAATCAAAAACTGTAAAATGAAGGTGCCAGCCAAACATACACCTCTGCAGAGAGGGAATTCCACAACTCTTGCAGTATAGAGCAACAAAAACCAGACCCCCTCCCCCCACCCGGTTATTTGTGGTATGAAAAGTTCTAGGATTTTGGCAGGAAGCTACAGGACATTCATGGAGCATGAAACAGTATTGAATGCAGGATTACTACCATGAACCCATCATGAGTACAAATCATCACAAAATTCGAAGGATCTCCCAAAATAAAATGGCAGTGGCTGCCGCAGTGGATTGCTCCCATACTAATATGAGGATCTGTAAGTTTTTTCACCCCACTTTGGTGACTCCGATGCCATGCCGACGTGTTGCCCCTTCTGAGATCCATCACTTTGTGTGGATGAGGTCAGCTATACCCTCCAACATTTCTCTGATGAAAATAGGGACGTCCCATTCCATAATGATAAGTTTACTATTTATACCCCACACATCTTTTTTTTTAAAAAGATATTTATTGAGATTTTCAAAATGTTACAAAAAAGAGAAAAAATAAAATAGAAGCAGAAGAGAGTACAAAGGATAAAAATAATTGACAAACTAGAAAAAGAAAGAGAAAAAAAACACCAACCCCTTCCCACCATATACAAAAAAAATCCAAATGAGAAAAAATGACAGAAAAAAAGAAAAAAAGAAGAATGCAAAAATCACAAAACTTTAAAAACATTTAAAAACAAATTCATTATTTTCAAATCCTTAACTGTCATTACCTTCTTTCTTAGACCTCCTCCTCCTCCCTTTCTTTGTATCCTAGTTATTAATTATCCCAGCAAATCCTTGACCTTATCTTTCTATAATTGAATAAACCTTAAAACTTAAAACTTAAATCTTATCCTTACCAACTTCTCATAATCATAATATTCTTTCATAATTCTTTAAACATCTTTGCTAAAGCCAAGTAATTTCATTCCAACATTCTTCTATCATTCATCAATTTTATAAAACAGTTCTAATGGTTGAAAAAAGAGGTATAAACAGGTCCAATCTTCATCCAGCGTCCCTTCCTCCTGGTTCCGGGTTTTGTCAGTCCTTATTCCCGTCAATCTAGCCCATTAACCTGGCAACCTTATGTCCGAGGCCCTCAAGTCTCTTCCATGACCCTTCCGCGGCTCTTCTTCATATTTGTAACTGTATTTTCCCTTGTCTCCTGCTCGTGGTAACTCCAGCTTGACAATGTTTTTAATCCTTCTCAACAGATCAGCCCCTTTTCCATGTTCAACAATGAATTCCATGTAGTATTTAAAAGCATGTTTCAAAGGCCCTCCAAAATTGAGAGCCCCCACAGTCCCAAACATCTCACGGCCCGTTGCCGTCCAAACATCCCAGCATAGGGGGGTCAATCCAGCCCCCCATTTCCAAACCAAACCAAACTTTTCCTTTCCAGATATGGCTTTTTCCAAGTTCATTTGTCAAATCCAAAAAATCATATTCCTGTTGGGCTTGTTCTGTCAAAACACACTCCTGATTTAATGTCAAAAAATCCTGTTCTGTCAAGACACACTCCTGATTTAAATCCTGAGTGGGCTCCACATATTTTCCTACTGTCTCTTCAAAGTTTCCCACTGCCTGTTCAAAATTTCTAGTCGAAGTCACCATCCAATTCACCTTCTCGTGTAATTGTTCCAGTAGATCGTTTGTTTTATAGAGAGCATACAACAAGGCTTCTGAATACATTGTCCTACAAGGTCAGATACTTGTTCCCACGGTTGTAATCTGTAACAGCTGTCGACTCCTGGAGTTAGTTAAAGTTTAACAGTTAAAATTTCACAGACTCCCCTAGGGGAAGACTTCTATTTATTCTTGCAACAAAGTTTCCTTTTTTAAGATACTTTGTCCATATATAATCCTTTAAAATGCGAAAGGGAACTGTGGAATCACTAGGTTTCTCTTCTTTTAGCTATCTGTCAAAAACACTTGTCTTTGGTTAATGAACTTCACACGTCAGTCCTGACAGCCCGCTCCAGGATCAGGACGGAGGAAAGTTACTTCACTTTAAAGTCACTTGAAACAGTCCAAAAAGATCCCCCCCTTCTCCTGCTGTCGAAGGGGGGTTCCACAATTTTAAATGGTGAAATCCAATCTTTTAAAAGCGATTTCCTGAGCTCTAGTTTAAATTGCCTTTGCTTTATTCTGTTTACAAAAGAACGGAAGGATGACTTCCTGTTTAGACCTTCCCGTTCCGTACCAAATTCAAGTAAATTTTTAAAGTCCGATTCTTTCCTACTCGCAAGTCCTTATTTGATGTCCAATTGTTCAAAGTCTAAGTACTCACGGGTGCTTATTTTAAAGTCCAAATTGTCCCAGGAAAAGGCAGCGCTCTCCGGCAACAGCTATGCGGCTTCGCTCCACGGAAATAGCAGTTGACTCACAGCACCGCGCCACTTCCCCACTTCACTTCGGAGCCCATTAGTGGGTTCCTTAGCGGGTTGGGGGGGCGCTAAAGGTGCCCGCCGAGTCCCATGGTCACAGGCTTCATCCGCCTGTGATTTTTAAGTGGGTCCCCGCTTCGCCGTAGCGGAGAAGACCCGTTTTCCGCGGAGCTAGTCCCTCCAGTTCAGAGGGAGTCCGCCATTGCCGGTGGCGCCACCCCGGAAGTCCTATACCACCCCCCCACACACATCTTACTGGGTTGCCCCAGCCACTCTGGGCAGCTTCCAACACATATAAAAACATAATTAAACATTAAAAAAAACACCCTTCCCTATACAGGATTGTGTTAAGTTGTGGGTGAACATATCAGACGACACAGCGATTCTTCAGACAGCTCTTGTTTATTCATAGGCCAGAACAGAACTGGGCTGAAGGGTTCAGCCAACCTGCTTATATAGAGCTCAACTACAAAGCAATAGTAACAACTTTCTGTAACTATCCAATCACTGAACGTCACTTTCAATTCCTTATTAGCATATGCGGACCTGAGTGAAAACTATCTACAGTATCCCCCTGCTGGCCCAGGGTGAGAACTTCAGTACATAACAGATTGCCTTCAGACTGCTCAGGGGTTGGATAACTCCATACCCTCCAACATTTCTTGGATGAAAATAGGGACATCCTAAGGAAAAGCGGGACATTTTGGAATCAAATCAGAAACCGAGACGGCTTCTTTAAATCAGGGACACCCCTGGAAAATAGGGACACTTGGAGGGTCTGGAGATCAGAAGCACGCAGGTGGAAGCAAAAGACTCTGCACATGGAATCAGGCATGGAACCAGCTGCCAGAGGGAGGCATCCAGGGGCTCTCAGAATGCTGAGCTGAAACAGATTCCATTCTCTTTAAAGAGGCTTCCATCAGCAGATCTGTGCACATTTTGCTTGGATTAGTCAACCTAGTAATGCTATTCCCAGAGGTGGAAATGTGTCTGGAGTCAATGGTTTGGATCATTCCAAACTCATGAGAAGACTGAGTGCAGAGAGGGACAAAGGAGTAGCATTCCCCTGCTTCTTCCATTTGTTCACACATTTCATATGGCTGGAGGACGTCTTCTTTCGCCGTTAAATCTGGCTTGTAAAAATATTCGTATGCACCCGAGAGGCCTCGGTGGACAGAAACACCTTGGCACAACAGTTCTTATCAGCTTTACAATTCCATGTTTACTGAAACAGCACTCCTGGTGGTGTGTCCGTTGCAACATTTCCATCTCTGCTGTGCCAGCTTTTCTCCCTCTTCCGGCCTCAGCCAGTTCCACCCACCCACAGCCGTGGGGGACCTGCTGCCTAGTAGCAATCTTGGAGAGATGACATTTGCATCCCCCGCCCCTGATGCAGCCGATTTGCCAGTTAGCTGGGACTCTGAAGAGGCGTGAACCAAGGCAGTATTTGCCAAGGTCCTCATATGTTTCCATTTTGTTCTCCTTTTTACAGCCAGTGAGGCCAGAAGGGACTGTCACTGCTATTTATCATTGCGGGAGTCAGAAGGGTCAAGGCAAACGTTCTTTGCATAACATGACACAAGGAATAAAAGTGCTGATGGCACCTAGCAGGGAAATTTGCACATGGTCCACAGTCATGGAACTGAGCACCGTGACA